TCCGCCACTGCATGTATAAGACATTCCTTATCTTTAATTTCTAAGCTCTTTATAACTACTATGTCTACATTTGGTACCCATATTTGGTGCAGGTTCATCTGTATTCATGGATAACCTTGCTTGGACATATTTAGGTGATATTGCAATATCATTGTACTTGATTTTTGTTAAATTTGTGGTCTTTTTTGCTCTGGTATGTTTAACAATAAAAAACTTTTATTAAGATGTTAATTTCTAAAAAAAACCCCGAACAACTCCGGGCACACATTTTATTAACTCTTGCAGTAGGGCTATCTCGTGCTGCAAGGGCAAGCTTCTCCATTTTGCCTAGGGGAGAAAAAAAAAAAAAGTTATACCCACCTGATCTTCGGGACATACCATTGCTTGCAGTAGGCAGGAGAGAGAGATGTCACAGCAGGCTGGCTCCAAGGATCGGGCGAGTATAACCTTTTTTTACCCTAGGCCAGTGGTGGCGAACCTTGGCACTCCAGCTGTGCCAAAACTACAAATCCCAAGATGCATCTCCCTCTGGGAGTTATGTCTGTGGCTGTCAGAGCCTTGCAATGCCTCATGGGACTTGTAGTTCCAAAACAGCTGGAGTGCCAAGGTTCGCCATCACTGCCCTAGGCAAACACGAGCAGTTAACCTTTGCAGTGCGGGGGTAGCCCCACTGCAAGGGTTAATAAAATGTTTACCCAGAGTTCTTCTTTAACAAATGTGTCCGACTATGGCATTGTGTTCTGGAGTGCAACTATGCATGTCTGTGTATGGTGATACTATGTAGAAGGTTTGATAAGGAGTCATTGTCCCAGAGGTAACAATTCCCCAATCACTAAATGTGAGTAAACAATGCACATAATGTCTAGTCCTAGTCTAGAGAGGTGGTACATAGTAAAACAGGCACAAAGAAATTAAATTTTGCAAATGAGCCTTGTAGTTATACTACAAAGTCACCCCTAGATGGCAGCCTTGAAATACATTTTATACAAACTGAAATCTAAACATTCTATCAGCTGCACTAAATAGAGACATAAAACACAAACAGTGGCATCTAGTTGCTTTAAGAAATTCACACGGACCGCATGAACAAGTCTGAATTTTTTTTATAAAACAAAAATGTATAAAATCAACAAAGACATGTTACAAAGGAGAAACAAAATATCCAGGCATTTTGGTGACATTGCAGCAGTGCAGTTCGGTAGTAGTGCTATGATAAACGAGTACAAGGAAAAAGGCATCCAGCCTGCTGTCCTCAGAGAACAGAAGAGGAGATTTATTAATTCTGCTCACTTATAAGCCAGTTCCCCTCCAGCCTGCTGGAAGGACATGCAGACACAGGGTATTAGGCACCAGCCAAGCTCCCGGGAGCCATGCTACTCTTACGTTTTTCAGTAAAACAGAGATATTTTACGGTGGTAATTCTATATGTGAAATTGCTATGAGAGATTTGTGCTTCACTGCTTTTCTACACAATAAAATAGTGACAATGCAATTCAATGTATTTTTCCTAAGAACAGAAATGTAAAAAGGAGCAGTGCATAGACACCGAGGGGACAGAATTCTAGGGGTGGCACACAGGCGCTTAAAGAGCAGCATCAACAGTGACATTTTATACACATTCCAATTTAGCGTGGAACAATGAAAGCATGCTCGTCTTCAAAATACAATGCTTGGACCTTTGGAAATGTAAGAAGTGACTATGCCTAAATCTGTCCTTAATAATTTTTGTTACTCCTATTCTTATTATATTTTTAACATCCATGGTACAGCAGACTCATGCCCCAGTATTGTAAAGAAGAATGCCAGCCAAGAAAATAAAAGCAAGCAGAAAGATATACATAATGGTAACGTCTATGTAGTTTTCTGTGCGCTGCTGCTGGATGGAAATGTACTGGTTGTTGTAGCTAACTCATGGAGATGTGTCTGTGAAGGATCTCATTTATCCAGGCCATAGTATATCTGTAAAAAAATAAGTCAAGGCAACTGGACCTGCTGTATGCTGGACCTGCTTATACAGCAAGTCATGGAGATGTTGTCTTACACTAATCTAGATTTTGCAGGGCCCAACATGATAGTTGCATGGGGTGGTTGCTACATATATTAGAAAAATCATAACGAAGGCCTTTGTCTTTACATCTTGAAAGCAGGAATTGCTAGGTCCCTTTGCTTGCTAGTTGGTGAACTAAAACAAAAGAAGGCTTCATGTTCTGCCAGCAGCAGGAAACATTTTTTTTTTTTTTTTTAAAAAGCAGCATTACCAAGAACATTAATAAATAGGAGTAAACATCTATTTACTTGCCAATTTTGCTTGCAGTTCTCCTATAATTACATTGGGCTTTTTAGTGACTATTGTGTTAAATAAGGCCGTACAAACAGCAGTTAACGACTTCTTAGAACCATAGCAACCAATCATATTCACCTTGTAATAATTTAAAGCGGTTAAAGGAAAATAAATATAACATTAAATTGGTTGCTATTGGCACCTACAGTATATGACCCTTTTCTAGGCTGAACAAGCACTGACCCTTTTAAATTCTGAAAATCGTCTGTAGCAGTTAAGCTCTTCAAAAATAGGTCCTAAGCATACCTGCTAGATAGGAAGCGCCAGTGTGCCATCACCCTCTAAAACCAGCCCCTTCCAGCAATTGAAGGACCACCATGCAAGCGTCTCTAGGTCGTACCCATAATGCAAAGTGTGGCCCAAATAAGTATTAATCATCTGCCTTGAAATGACACACCTAAATGCTTAAAAGTAGTTTTTCACATACTGGGCTACTTATACATCCATTTTTAGCTTGACATAACATGGAAAAGACAAAACATAATATATCCAACTGTGAGGTTTAACTTACAATGGAGTTTGAAGTGAGGACTGTGGTAAATACCCTATGTATTCCTATATAGAAGTAAAAAAAATAAAAACTTTAAACAAATATAAAAAAAATCTCTTAGCACAAAAAGGTAGAAAGGACAAAGTGAAATATTCTGTGGTTTCCTTTCGCCAGTCCTTCCTGAGAGGCCTGTGCAGTCCTTTGGCCTATGGCAGCCAGGGAAGGAGTTAATTAAGCCACTAGGGCAAAACGCTGAAAATATACATTCCTATATTTATAGATTTCCATTTATACATAAAATTTTTGACAGTTCCCTTAGCAGACAACTGGTGCCCAGTTCATGTAGCACTGTGTTGTAACTGCCTTTCTGCAATGGGAATATGTGGTAATAAGTGTGCAAAAAAAAAACAAACAAAAAAAAACTGTAAACTGGTTCAACTCGATTATTTTGCAGTCCCACAGAGCTATAGGCGAGTTGGCTCATCTTCACTATCACTGCAGTTACCACAACAGTCCTGGAGCGGGAAAAAACAAAACACAGTCAGAACAAATATAGTGGAATAGCCTATGCGACTAAACATGTCAACTGGCTTAGGGCAAAGCGCAGATTTTTGTTGTAGTTCTCTATATACCCCCCACACACATACATTTACCTTTACTTCCCTGCTACTATGTTCAGTGATGGAGACAGAAGGAAATATCCAGTATTTTCAGATGTGGAGGAGCACATGACAGTACTGGGGTCTATCAGTATAGTCCTACTGGGAATTCTACGCTCTGTCTAAGGTATCACTCTAATGCATGAGTTCTATTTGTGTATTTCTATGGACAGCAAAATGTCAGTGTATATTAGTACACCTTGCCAGCTGCATTTTCTACAAATGTCCAACCTGCAAAAATAAATCTATGGTGGAAATTTGTACAAAATGCAGCCAGCATGTCTTTATAAGGATGTACCCCTCTGCTTTTTAGGTGTTCAATGTGCACTTAAAATACATAACAAAATGTAAACCATTCTGGTCTTCATATTTGTGCAGTGCAGTTTGTTAAAAGGTTGACAGAACAAACTGAACCCTCTGGTCACTTCCTCTTTCATTTAAAAAATGCAACATATGCAAAATGCACCATAAACACCCTGCAAAAAAATTCACTGAAATACATATGTAAACATGCATAGAACACACGTATTCCAAAACACAAAGGTGTAAAAAAAAAGTACCCCAAGATATGCAGAAGTACAAGTACAATATTCATTTTTTTTCCCAATGTATATTAAACATGAAAAGGAGACAGTTTCAGGGCAGGTTCACACCATTTTCCGGACCAGATCTGGAACGCAGTGCATTGTGTTTTACCGCGTTCTGGAGCTGGGCTTTTTTTCAGCTTAAAATGGGCTTTCAGGTGCGTTTGCATGTGTTTGTATGCGTGTTTTATGCATTTCAATGTATTCCAGACCAGACAAAATGAGACATGCAGTAATGTAACAATAATATTACAAGAAAAAGCTTTAATCTTTTGCACCAGCTTTACAATTTAGAATCATTATCTTCCTAGATCGTGGAATTTATCCAGCTCTATAAAATGAGACCGTTGTCCTGAACATGAAAGTACTTGGTTCCAGAATGCAGACTAGGATATAGCCATTATTCAACAGTACCAACACTTGCTTCAGCCCTGCTCACCCCAGTATAAATTCTAACATTCCCTTTCCCGTCACCTGTCTGCTGAAGAGTCGTTGCAGCAGCCCTTTCTTAGGTTGTGGGGAAGGAAGACCTCTCCAGTCCAGATCAGGTGGGATAGGTCCATCCATGGGCACTTCACTAATTTCTTTGAAGCAGTCGGTCTCGATCATCTAAAACAGAGCACAGGCAGCTAATAAATTCCAATTTCTGTCCAGTGTATAAACACATTTTTGTTATCAGACCTTCCCTATCTTTAACAACAGTGATAGATTGAGAGTGACAATACTGCAAAATACAGGAGGCTGGAGGTGTGCACCAGTTGTATGACTTTTTGACATAACAAGGGCCAAGGCAGCATGGCTGCAGCCAAAGCAATTAAAAGCTGAATTCCAGAAAAACAGCCAAGTAAATTGTTAGGGTTCCATTAAAAAAACCCACAAGACAGTTGTTTTATGTGAAAAGGCTTTTATGCCCAAGTCCTGAAACATATACAGCCCTACCATACTGCAGAGCAAGACTGATGATTAGGAGAATGAAGGCACAGCAGCAGGACAGTTACCAGTCATTTCTCTGCTCTCCCCTCCTGTCAAAATGTTCTTGTCAGTTCATGTGCACTGTGGCACACCTGACTGTCTCCTAGAACTATCTCTTCCAGGCTGACTGTAGCAGTATGGTGGTTAGCAAAAGTACATTTGAAGCAGAAGATAAAAATAAAAAGCGCATTAAAAAAAAAAGAAGCTTTTGCTGCAATAGTCAGCTTGAATCCAGAGATTTCCCTTCCAGTATGGTTTTTCTGCCACTAGATTTCTTCAATCTTATGACCAGAATCATACAACCCACAGTTGCCCTGGACCCATTACAGCCCGAGACTGGACAGTGAGAGGAGAAGTTGCACAGTGATAAGCTCATCTCTCTGTCACCATTCTTTCTCCTCCTATTAGCATGCTTCTCGTCATTGCATGAACTGACTGGTTCCTTGTACCCCATGTTCCTGTCACACTTCAGCTCTGCTATACAGAGACTGCAAGAGGCTGATATTGACCTACCTGGTCAAATTGAGATACTTACACTGACTGTATTAAACATATTTTAATGATTTATTGATAATTACAAGCTGCATTAATTTGTGTGTCTTATATTTGCTTTAATATAATGTTAACCAGCATTAGTTGATTACTTCTTCATGCTAGTTGGACAGATGGTGGAGACTGTACTGCTGTCTCGTGATTTTCGGCAAACATTTTAAGAAATACTTAGCTGTGCAATGTATATTTGTTTAAACTGGATTTATTATTGAAAGAAATTTTTAGCATATATTACTACTTTCAGTCGTTACAGCCAAGTTTACCCTTTAACCACTTGCTGTTTATACCCCCCTTCCTGTCCAGGCCATTTTTCAGTGTTCAGCGCTGCAGTACTTTGACTGACATTTATTCCGTCATGCAGCGCTGTACTGAAATTAATTTTATACCATTTTTTTGGGGACAGGTAGAGCTTTCCTTTGGTGGTATTTAATCACCACTATAGTTTTTTTTTTTTTTACTGCATAATAAAAAAAAGTACCGACATTTTTGAAAAAAAACCTGTTCTCCCTACGTTATGTTATAAAACATTTATTATTACCCAATTTTTTGGTAAAATATAAAAGACGGGGTCACGTCGGGTAAATAGACACCAAACATGTCAAGCTTTAAAATTGCGCGCACCCGTTAAATCGCAAAAAAATACCATACACAAAATTGACAATAACCGACGATTTAAAAGCTTTTACCGCTCATCAGTTTAGTGTTATCAGTGACAAATGACCCTAGAATTATTGCTCTCATTCCGACGTTCGCGGCGATATGTAACATGTGCAGCGCAATGGATGTAATTGGCGTTTTCGCACGTAGGCAGGCTTGACACATGTTTGCGTGTGCATGTGGGGGCGGGGGACTTTAATTTTTTTATTGCTTTGATATGTAATTTTTAATTTAATTTTTTTAGTAACACATTTTTTTAAACCTTTTTTTTTTTTCAGCATGTAGTTTTTATTAACATATGAAAGTAAAACAAACATATTCTCGAGATAACACTCGACAGCAAGTATATAAAAATGGACTAGTTTCAAACAATATACAAGCAATACTGGTAATGTTAGGCGGGTAACTAATCCTGATGGAGGCCATGTTTGCATATAATAGTACAATTGACATTCAAATCAGAACAGAAGATAATCAAGTTGGGAGGGGGTGAGTAGGAGAATATCTAGGCAAGGATTGAAGGGATGTTAACATGGGAGTAGGCAGTAGGAAATCGGGGGTCACTGAATGGATTAGAGGGGTGATAGAGCGGTCAGAGCTGACGTGTTATGGGTGGGACGAGGATATTTGCATAAAGGCCTTAGATCTATGGGACCTGAGAGAGGTTAAACCTTTTTTTTTTTTTTCCCACTGAACTTTATGGATATCACATAGGGAGAAAACAAGCTCCCTATGTGATAGCCAATTTGCAGTGACAGGTCCTCTTTATGAAGACATCAGGGGTCTTTAAGACCCCTAATGTCACCTAGGGACCCCCAGAGAAGCTGATGAAGCAGAGACCTTCTTCACCAGCTTCTCTCCAGTTTCTGTACCGGAGAGTGACACTGAATGCAGGCAGTGATGTAATACACATCACTGCCTGCATTCAGAATAGGAGATCAAACGGAGCTCGAGTACTGAGCTCCGTTTCATCTCTGGCCGCAGAGCTGCTGTGCTGGTTCCGGGCTCAAACCGGGAACAGTGGAGCCCGGGATCGCCAGCAGCGGCGGGGACGGAGGGGGGGGGGGCGCACACCCGACCGCATATTACAAGCGATCGGGCGTCTCTACAGACTTCTGAACGCTTGTATGTAAAAAGCCATCGCTGGCTGTTTACATTCAAAGCCCGTTTCCCGCGTGTGCGCGCCTCCTAGCGGCGGGCACGAGCGGAACAGGATAGGACGTCTAAAGACGCCCACCCGCCCTCAAGAAGCCGCTGTCCGGCCGTTTAATTACAACGGCAGGACAGCAGGTAGTTAAAGTGTATTTACACTAGTTTAAAGTGTTCTAGTTGTAAACTAGATTTGAACATGGTCAGTCCTAACAAAGAGGTTAAAAATTGCGAAGTTTAGGATCTGCATTGTATGCTAATGAGGGAAACTTTTGCTTTGAAATTGTTCAGAGTAGCTTGCAGTTTGCTTGAAGGTCTGCTCCAAAGAAACAACTAGAAAAATAAAAAATTTTAAAGATTATTTTTAGGTATGCTGTGTAAATTGGGACAAAGTGGGTTTCCTCAAATATGACTGCAAACGAGGAACTACATTTTAAAGGTTGAAAAAACGGCATGCAATCTCCTATGCTTAAAACCAAGAAATCAATGGCTAATACTGGTTATCCTACTGCAATCCTTACATCAATATCTAGTTTGACTTACCTCATTTTGCCACGGTATAGACACACAACCAGTGGCAAACTTGTGGTAAAAGTCGCTGTCGATTTGCTCTAGCTCCACTCCTTTCACTGTTGAGAACTGTTCTATGTCTAGGACATCTTTGCAGTAAATTGCCTGAGGCTGAAAAATAGCATAAACAGAGAATAACAAGGTTACATAAGGAGTTACACAACGCATAATGAAAAGTCTCTTATTGGTCCCATGACCAGCAGAAAACTCAAGGAAGCCTAGAGAAACCTTCCCTGTTCACATAACTGAATTCGATCTTTCTTCAAGTGTTGAAAATAAAATGTTATGCTTACATCTGGCTTAAATGGGGGTTCTAGTATTCCAGCTTCAAGTCTCTTAAAATTTATATGCCTGAACAAAAGGTGTTCTTTTACTTCCTGTGCACTTCCACCACAACACCCCAATCGCTGATCAGGATCTTTACATAGAAGCTGTGTAGGGAAAAAAAAGAAAAAAAGAAAATTTGAGAACTGAAAACCAACATGACACCTATTCATACTGAAACAAAAAGTATGGGTGTGTGGGAGGCTTCTACAGTATACTTCTTATTTATCACTGCTAGGCTTCTGATGTGCCAATCAAAGCTTATACTTCTATAAAGAAATCAATACTGTATGCATCTGTAGTCACGTACCATAGTATCGCTACACACATCTGATAGCAATCCAAAGCCAACTCCAAAAAACATAATGCTACTGCTTATGTGACAGTGAGGCATGGGTAAAGGTTTGAAGAATGCAAATATCTATAGAATACGAAGGCTCATTTAAAGCTGAACTACAGGCAGAAATAAGAAAATAGGATTTTTGTCTTGCTTATAAAATCTGCTTCTTGAAGTACGTTACAAGTCACAAGGAGTTAATTCTGGAACCAAAGAGTGCTGCAGCTATCTTACCATTCCCAGCCTGTACTTAGTTTTTTAGTAAGAAGTACAAGAGTGGATCACGAAAAAAAACAAGGGGAGGGTCCTATGTCCTATTGTGCACTGCAAATAACAGCGTTTACAGGCAAGATTTTTAAAAAATCCTGTTTTCTTAAAACATACATTGCAGGACACCTGGAGTTCATTCTGGAACCAATGGGAGGTCCAAAAGCAGTAAACCAGAGGGAGAGGACACAGCAAACAGAACCATTAAAATGAATGGGATGTGTCCCATGGAGTACTTCGTGGAATAAAGCATCTTTGCTCAAAACTATGCCAAATAAGCCTTCCAGCTGTGATAGTAGACTTTGCAGGAGGCTGACTTTCTAAATTCAGAAGCATAGGAAAAACAGCAGCCAAAAAGCCTCTGGCCAGGCCAGGCCATTAAAGACAGCAATTAAGAAGCAGGGTAGAGTAACATTCCTTGGAGTCTGCCAGGAGTTTGACTACATCTCCGTACCAGTGTCTCCGGGACGAGTTGGGAGCAATGGAGATCACTGTAGTGTCCTCAGTCTTGATCTTGTGAGGAAGGCAAGGCAAGGGATCCATGATCCTAGTGACAAACTTGTCTACTTTATTGCTGAACCTGGATGCAAGGAGATGCACATCCAGTGTCCCCCACCTGCAACAAAGGGCCAAAAACATCTCCAGGTGAAGGGACCATTCTCCTAGGTCCAGAGGTTAATGACTGCTCAAGTCTGCCTGCAAATTTTACACTCCTGGGATTTGCAAGGTGGACAGGGCCTGGAACATGAAATTCTGCTCAAGCCATTCGACTTCTGGTGCTTCTCTGATGGTTGATGTAAGACAAAAGCTGAAAATCCTGTTTCAGTGGCTCTGTAATGGAGGGGTCCAGCATTGAAGGACAGCCCAATCGTCCAGAGCTCTAGGATGCTGATTGGGAGTGAAGATTCCTCTGCTGACCAGGTACCTTGAACTAAACGGTTCCCCAGGACTCCGCCCCAACCTGACTGGCTGGAAACTATCATGACTACTTTGCAGACCATCTGTAGCAAGGATTTCTGTGATTCCATCAACGAGTTGGAGATCCGCCAAACCAGAACAAGCCTGGCCGTTGTTGGCAAGTGAATTAGGAGGTCCAGGAACTGAGCCTGCTTGTCTCACAAAACCTGAATGCTGACCTACAAAAGCCTGGAATGACACTGAGCACAGGGGACTACCTCAAAAAAGGCCAATATCAAGCCCAGCACCTTCATGTAAACGTAAATGGGTGAACCATGGACCAAAAGATCTGAGCATGTAAGAGATTTTCTGGGGGAAGGAAGATCCTGTACAGGGTCCTGTCCAAATACTAGGCTCAGGTAATTCAAGGTACTTCAAGTGTCCCAGCATTGTCTTCTGGAGATTGAGGACCCATTGAAGCTTTGCATGGTTTGTATTATCTGATGAATGAGGGAAGATAACACTAAAACAGGTCCCTGGGGAAAAGTTTGTGCAAGTACCCCACTATGGGGACTCCCGGAGGCCAAAGCAGATCCAAAATAGGGACACTCACCTTGGCGAAGACTTGAGGCCCTAAAGACAGGCCAAATGAAAGGGCAACCAATTGTTAGTGTTGCATGCCACCAACAAAAAACAGGTAGCATTGATGGGCTGGAAAAATGGGGATGTGCTAATATGCATACTTGCTATCCATTGATGCTTCCAGCTGAAAGGAGGTGATGATAGAGTTCATACAGAACTTTGGCACTCACAGGATCCCATTGAGAATATTCAGATCGAGAATCAAAGAACTGGAAACAGCCCTGTCTACTTCATCGTCTTCCTTAGGAAGTGCAAAAGCAGACATAGGAAGGCAGAGTGGAACTCTCAGAGGGAGGTCCACGTGTGCCATCAGTGGTCTGAGGACTCTATTAGGTCAGAGATTTTTCCCCACAAATTCAGCCATTACTGAGGTGCACAGGAGAACCCTAAAGAGGGGATCGATGGAGAGAAGGAGCAGAGCAAAGGGGCTAGCAGAAACACTGTAGCCAGAGGGAACAGAACCTCCCCCAAACTGTTGTCAAGCTCTGTGGCCCCAGAGCTTACTGCACATCTCTACATCTATAATCTGCCACTGCGCCATTTGATGCATAACCCAATAGTTCCAGAACTAACTTGCCGTGTCTTGGGATGTATGATCAAGAAAACCCATTTAAAAGATTTGTGTATTTCTTTAGCAGTTAATCTTTTTTAAACTACTAGTAAACAATTTTTCCTGATAGTATCCTCCTGTTATGCCTTGCACATGAGACTGGGAGAGGAAGCGCATCATTAGGGGCTTATCACGCTCTGCTGTATTCACATGTTGACAGGGAACATTACCACAGGCTGAGAGAGCAGAGATGGTGACTTAGTGTGTTTCTGCTATTTCATTGTTCAATAACCAGGCTATTGGTGGGGAAATTACAACATTGTATTCCTTAACTCTAACAGGGCAAGTGGTGTCACCCTCCTGCCTGTGTCACCTGGTATAGGAATCACATACATAGCTGAAGATAATTAGAACTCCTTTAGAAGATATTAGTTGACATATGTGTATTTCAGTTGTATATTAGCTGTTTGCATGGAGTTAAGCTTAATCATGTGCGCAATAGCACATAACCAATTACATATCAGTTTATGGTTGCCAGATAAGGCAGCTATACACTTATCTTTCATCTAATAGGCTCAAGTATGTACAGAACTGCCAGAAGTTCACTTTAATTGTGGGTAATCAATTTATCCAAAGTACCTTCAAACCCTAACCATGAACTCTGATTTGCTCCTTTTTGGTCTGTTAATTATACAATTAAAAAAAAAACCCCAAACTGTTAATCTTGCCAAAAATCTAGTTAGAGGACATTGTCCTGTACTCTCTGCCTCTGCTGACTGTTATCAATTACATTGTTCACCATTTTCTCTGTGGACTACCTTGCATCTTCCCAGTGGAATATAGAGATGAGGAGAGGGGGAGGTGTTCTTTAGTTCTAATAAAACTTCCTATCCTAAGGTGACAACACTTTCATTCTTTCGTAGATACAATAGGTTGAATGAAAGTTGTCACCCTAGGACAGAACGTGTGTCACTGGCATGATCAACAGGTAAAAATAAGAGAAAAAGCCTGAAAATTAAGAACTAATGCAGCCAACCACCACCATTTCTCTCTGAACAAAGGAAATCTAAATGTGTATGGCTAGCTTTAGTGCCATAAAATTAAAGTGGAACTCTGAGCAAACGGCTAAAAACACAGTTAAGACACTTACGTTTAAGATTTGCCTACCAATGTGTTTCAATTTATGGCCAGCCAATCTGGTAATCCTCACACTTCTGCTAGTCACCAAGATCACCTAACACTATTACAAATGCTTTCACTGTCCTATACCCTTTCACCTAAATACCTGAATGAATGCACTTGACATGCTTGACTCATCTCCCATAGTTTCCCTCTTCATAGTACCAAGCAGAGATGCCCTGCCCTATTCTGCAATACAATCTCCCTTTTATCTTTACATACATAGCTAGCCGTTCCAATAAGCTTACTTTTACTTTTTTATATAGCTAATTACCACAAGAATTTACTTTGATGCAGGGAAAAATTGCAAACTAAATGCTTAATAAAAGCTCCCCCCGATCAGATACTTTTTCATGACTAGCAATTTACAAAGAAAGACCTACAACCTAATTGATCCACAGCAAGTGGTAAATATAAACAACAAAAAAAGGAGAGGAAGTGGTGCGCCTTCTACGACAACCGCTGATAGATATCTAGATCAGGTCACACGTTTCAAAAACCTATTTATCCTCCTATTTCTGTGACATGCAGAAGAAAATCAAACAAACAAATACCCATGTAAACCAGAGCTTCCGGTCAATGAAGGTTGTGCCGTTGCAGATGCTAACCATACCTACATACCTCCTCAAGTCAGATATGAAAGTCCTGAGAGCGTTTCTCAAGATATTCACAAAATACTACGTATGTGCCATAGCGGGGTCATTAACATTGGAGGAGTTGCCCACAGCCACCAGTCAGATTCCAGCAGATGGTTCCTAATGCGGTTTAGAAAATGAAAGCCGGCACATGATTAGCTGCTACAAACAACTCAATTTTGTTCTATAAAAGGAGCAGTATTATTTCCATTGGAGTCAGCATTAAGTTAAAAACACTGAAGCCCGCCTACTCTAGTGAAAAAGCCCTAAATGTATCTGTTGCCCAGAATTACACTAACCTAAGAAGATGCAAAGTTGACGTGTAGGAATAGAAATTCCAATGTGACTAATTTTAATGGATGCACACAAAAAGTATGTTTGAATTACATGTCTGAAGCTGCATCATGTTTCTATTATATAGGTAAAATAGACCTTACTGGGGTCAATTCACAAACGAACGCACTAGGATTATGATCTTTATTATAAAAAAGTGACAGTCCAGAGAGATTTGAAAATTACAGTCAAGTGACTGAATAATGATCCTTACTCTTGTGCTAAAGCTTTGTCTATTAAGTCTATCGCGCACTACTTTAAAAATACTGAGCATGCACTAGTTTATGTTGTTCCCAACACCAACTAGAATTCAGCTTTCAATTTAGTACAGTTACAAAAATATTAGAAGGATTCTATATTGGCTGCTATAGGTTCTTTCATTTCTCCATCATGGAAAGGCCACACAGAACAGGAATTTACTCACCATAGTGCAGAGATCCCTTGCCTCCGATGAAAACTTGCTTGAATATTCTTCTTGGCCTTCCTTTACTAACCGCTCTACCTCCTCACGTTTGATCTTCCTCTTTCTCTGCTGAAAAGGGGACTGCCCCGCAATCATCTCATACAGTAGACAACCAAATGCCCACCAGTCAGGGCTAAATGTGTACCGCTCATTCTTCACCACCTCAGGAGCTAAGAGAAAAAACATGGTTATAACCCCATCCTAGCCAGCGCTTTTCCTGGTCACCTTCACACCTTTACTCACCCATGTATCCTACAGTGCCTACTCTGCCTTTAATAGTTTGACCTTCTGGGATGTGCACAGCCAGCCCGAGATCGGAGATCCGGATGTGTCCTATGGAAATAATAAGAGTATGAAAAGCCAGTCAGGTAGATATGCATTTAGCTGACGCCTACTCATGTATAAAAATATGCCTGCACGACATCATTGGCCTCATGTTTAAAAATAGTCTTTGGAGCAAGTTAAGAAATTTTCTGAATTGCTTTATGACTTGAGACAAATATTTTCACAGCATGTGAAAAAAGTCACAACCTATGGTAAGGCGTGAGACAAAATTTATAATACTGTACTGCGTAAAACATCTGTACAACTGCTACTTGCATTTTAAAAGGTGCTCATAAAGATATGAGGGGTTGGCTGTGAAGACATGATGCAACCTTTCTTAAAACACTTCTGACAGCTGGTGCTGCCATGAATGCTCAGCTGATTGTGTGTACAGACTTTCTCCATAGGCTTAATCACCTCCATGGCCTCAGGTGTATAAAATCAAGCTCCTAGGCATGCAGACTGATTCTACAAACATTTGTGAAAGAATGGGTCGCTCTCAGGAGCTCAGTGAATTCAAGTGTGGTACTGTGATAGGTTGCCACCTGTGCAATAAGTGTATCTGTGAAATTTCCTAGCTACTAAATATTCCACGCTCAACTGTTAAGGTGCCCATACACCTTACGACCATCGCAAGACTTTTGTCTTGCGATGGTCGTAAGCTTATTAAAAGCTCGTACGATCTGCCCATCTTGGACAGGCAGATCGTACTTGCGATAATCGAAAGCCCGCCCTGCTGAGGGGCGGGCTTCCGATGACCGCAATGAGGGGCGGGCTTCCGATCACTGCAAACGGGCAGCTTGCGCACACCGGCCCGTTCGGCAGTTGTGGAACAAGCAGGCCACTAACCCGCCGAGAATCGTACGATTCTCTGCGGGTTTTCAAGCCTGCTTGAAGTCTGACAATCCAATGAACAGGTCTGGGTTTGGTGGTTGCCAGGAGAACGGTACTTGCCTAAATGCATTGTGCCAAGTGTAAAGTTTGGTGGAGGGGGGTGTGGGGCTATTTTCCAGGGGTTGGGCTTGGCCCCTTAGTTCCAGTGAAGGGAACCATTAAGGCATCAGCATACCAAGACATTTTGGACAATTTAATGCGCCCAACTTTGTGGGAACAGTTTGGGGATGGCCCCTGTTCCAACATGACTGTGCACCAGTGCACAAAGCAAGGTCCATAAAGACATGGATAGTGAGCTTGGGGTGGAGGAACTTGACTGGCCTGCACAGAGTCCTGACCTCAACCCGATAGAACACCTTTGGGATGAATTAGAGCAGAGACTGCAAGCCAGGCCTTCTCATCCAACATCAGTACCTGACCTCACAACTGCGCTTCTGGAAGAATGGCCAAACATTCCAATAGACACACTCCTAATCCTTGTGGACAGCCTTCCCAGAAGAGTTGAAGCTGTTGTAGCTGCAAAGGGTGGGCCAACTCAATATTGAACCCTATGGGCTAAGACTGGGATGTCATTAAAGTTCATATGTGTGTAAAGGCAGGTGTCCCAATACTTTTGGCAATATTGTGTATATGGTACAGGTTTCCTTTAATTTTGTTTTGAGTAGTGGGTGGTTCCGGGAGCCTGCCATGCAACGTCACACACAGAGTCCCCCAGTAAATATCCACCACCCTTTATGTCTTCTTCCGCACCTGGCAGAGTGCTGGAACACTCTAAAATGTACAGATATCACTTTCAAGACAATAACAGCAGAGGGAAGTAACTACTAGCCCACCAAGCAGGGCTTCAGGGGCAGGGTTCACTTTGTAATCCACTCCAGACAAAATCATAAGAACACCTCACACAGTCACAGGGAGTGTACTTTTTAAAATTTGTGCTGTTTAACTTCCTGTTCCTCAATTTCCCTAGTCACATTTAAACTTCCAAGGCATGTCTGAATTTGATTGGTGGCTGTGATAAACTTTTTTGTACAAGAGAGATATAT